GAATCTTCTTTTCAAGGATGATTTTGTTCTCAATCATTCGTCTTGAGAGTTCTTTGTAATGGAGGAAGGTCGCTTCACCAGAGGCAAGCGTGTTCTTCAGATGCTGAAATTGAGAAAATCAGTAGCTTTACGATCAACAGAACAGAAACATCGATGATACTCAGTCCTAAACTGATCTGGAATAATGCACGTCACATCGTCACTCTGATAACTGCAAGTTGATCACAAATCAGCTGTGCCTAATGAAACTCAATTTCCCCCCTATTGATGTCATACTATTTATAGGAAACTATTGACTTATTAAGGGTATGAACAAGCATTGGGCACTATTTGGGCGAAAATCTGGAGCGATCTTTTGATTTCTGATTTTAGTACTACCTGGGCTTTCTTGTATTCAGCGTCAGAGGGGCCTCCAAGCCAGCGACATCTTCATTGATATCTCTTGATTCCTTGGAGCAAGAGTTGAGCCAACGTTGGGCTAGTTTCTTTTGGTCATTTTAGTATGACACGAGTGCACTATATAGCCTTCAGAAAACAGCATTGAGAAAATCAACAATGGTACCCTAACTGTTCAAGAATTAAAATTCGTTGCAAACATATGGTATACACGTAAAAACGCACAACTTGTAACAAATCTGCAAGAAACTGGCTTCCTGTTTCAATGCTACTACAAGCCTGTTGCGAACACATCGTGTTGACAAGTTGTGAATCTTGTCCATATGCAGAGTCAAGTTAGAAGCACTTAATGCCAGCTGTATATTATACGGATGGAACCCTTGTGATCTTGTGATAGAGGTTAAAGATACAAGCACTATCCCATTCCACTGTCGTCACACCCAATTAAAATTGACGACTGTGGCTCAGAACAAGAGGACGATGAATATTTAAAAATAAAACTCTGTCTTCATTTTGAAAACATAATTTGAATACTGTTTAATTAAATTTACTCCATCGGAAAAGAACCAACTAATTGATTAGGTTAGTTTTGTCAATGATATCACAGCATAGGGAGGGACAGTAGTGCCACTTACATCGGATCCTTTCGAAGTTTCTGTCCTCACCCATATGGCGTTAGGCATGCTTCTAAGCAAGTAAACTGCATGCTCTGGCCAATAAGCGTGCTGAACTGGCTGGTCCTAGCCAGTAAACTGCATATTTTTGCATAAAAATACAAGGACACGTTTTACCGCTAAGTGGCACTAATGTCCCTCCCTTTAATGTGATATCTTTTACAAAGATAAAGAATAATTAAATAGATTGGGTAGATCTGGGAATGCACCTGAACCTGATCATTATTCTTCGTAAGATTTTTATGTAAGGTCACATGGCCAAGCATTATGATATGCCATGTAGTATAACTTCGTGATTAGCATTTTCTTTAAAGATGCTGTAACGTCCGTAATGAAAACAAACGCTTTGCTCACATTTTGAACTGCTACATTGTAAAATATGATACCCTAACTGAATATCTAATACTTTTCTGGTTCGCTATAAAAGCTTGTTAATGAATATAAACCAGAAATTTCAATTAAAAAATGTTCGAAAGGCGCAAAATTTGGGCAATGTTTATATCTGCGGGTCTCTTTTTGTTATGAGCAGAACTTATGCGCAAAACAGACTTTTTTAAGCGTATGGACGTCTAAAAAATGGTGAAAGAAAGCATTCATGTCTCACGTTCACGTAATATTATTATTATATATATGAGATTTATGGTGGAATTTTTAGTGGTTCTAACATGAAGTACCCGTGTTGTAAAGAAGAAATTTTGCAAGCTCAGCTATTTTTCAACCTCCAATATAGCCGCCGTTGTTCGTGAACGGAGATGCACAAAATGTCGATTTTTGTCTTAATGTGCACATCTCTGATTTGACATACATCTGGAAATTAATCGTCTATACATTAGGTACATGTCTTAAACAAACCAGCTGGTTCCTCGATATGTGCATCCGCATTTACTTTTTCGATGACTTTCTGGCGGTCGGCCCATGGTCTAAAAATGCAGATAGTGAGGGAAAAAGATAATTTTAGGAATTATGACTTATGAAAATTAAGAATTATGGTTCTTTTATGTGAGTTTTTACTGTGTAGCCCTATTAAAGTGGACGCAGGAAGGATGACAAAATATATTTGAAGTTTTTACAAACATTTTTTATTTATTTTATGGTACTTCGTTAAAAAGCACTTCACAAATTCATTGTATATACGATTAAAACTACATCAAAAAGTTCAAACTGTCATTTTAAAATTATTATTTCTATTATATTTTTCTGCTTCTATTCTCTACAAAGCAAATATTATTGATAAGATTACATCCATTCAAACATTTCTCGTGTAAATTAATTTAAAGATATCAATATATACCTTATGGTTGTATTTAAATTCGCGTATAGCATTAGAGTATACCCTTTCGCAAAGTACGTCTTTTAGGCCATAGAGCCTCGTTTTTGTAGCCTGACCACAGACCTTCGTGTTGCTGCCCTAAAATTCGCTGGTGGGATGCCTGCCTGCATGTGATCAGACTACGCGTTTTCGTGATCGCGGGCTTGGATTTAACTAAAGTCAATGCACAAAAAGCCAAAATGACGTATTTTCTGGAAGAGTGCAAACATTTACACGAACTTAAAACCGAACGAAAAATAGGCCTAGGTTTTCCACCTAACATGCACAAATAATCATTTGTGCATGCATGTGTAAATGATTGCCGCTGAAACACAAAATGCAAACCGTTAGAAATTATTCTGTACGACGTTATGTATAATAAATATTTGCATGATATTTGATTTATTGTTAAAGCGTCCTGCTCATTTTCTCCTGCAGCTTGGCTTAATTAATTTTTTTTCTGATTTTGCGACAAGTCTGGGACCGGTTATATAACTCTTTTATTAGTTAACTTCTTTGTAACTATGTTGTTTTGATTGGTCAACTTTAACTTCCTTTTTATACAACCGGCTCCATGTGACTCCATGTAACATTTTAGCACGAAAAATCACGATTAAGGTGTGCCTTTTTCGTTTAGTACCTTTCTAATTAGGCGCGAATATTAAAGTTAAATCGTGACTAAAATATCACATTTATAGGGTGTGCGAAATTAAATCGCATGAATTAAAGACTAAGCGAAAATTGGAACCACGCGAATTTATATACAGGTAAAGTATATACTGTCAATTTAAAATATCTATTTCTACATTTTTCTCCTATCTTCTTCTACAAGCAAACACTATTGATAAGATTACATTTCTTATGCAAAGTATACTATATATATACATACATTCAGCCAGGGACGTCGCGAAGCTGGGGTTGTGTGTTACCGCAAATCCTCTATTATAAGACCCTTCGCTAATGATCAATCTTTAATAAACACATCTCCCCCCCCCCTTCATATCTAAATACATCAAGTACTTCCTTCTCTAATAAGCGACCCTCCCCTATCCTCTTCATATATAAACACATGTTTACCGAATAGATTTATTAATTAGACAAATTATCCTGGACGTTTATGTTCGGTTTTACGAGGTTACGGCGGTTATAGATATGTAAATCATAATCAATAAGTTCCCCTTTCTATCATGCCTCCCTCTCCAATAAACATTCGCTCAAACGTGCCATAAATAAAATGGGGCTTAATAGAGGATTTACTTCACAAACATGGTGATGTAGTGCAACACACATAAATTTTCATTGACACTTATTATCATTGACATTGCAATTACGTTTCAGAGGCCTGGTTCATACTTTGGATTCAAAATTCACACAAATTTGCTCGTAAATTCGTTGAGCAAAGCCCTATTTCAATTCAAACGTGAAAGCAATATTATATAACATACCTTGCTAGACATAGGTTTCTAGAAACCTATAGGTTTCATAATATTCTTAAAAAATCAAACATAAAGACATAACACCGTATGGAACGAATAATTATGCACGATAGACTACTTTCCATGCATTTGACTGACAGATCAATGAAAGTCTTGTACCAATTTTTAAACACAGACACCAGTACGAAACAGACCTCAGGTTTGGAAACGGTGCAACTGTGGCTGGTTTTGGCATCCTGGGCATTTTTTTCTTATTCTCGAAGCTCTAGCACTGTATTTTTAGTATTTTTTTAGATCATGAAAATTGTAAATGTTTGAAATGTGTTTTTTTTTCAAATATTTTTATCTTTTGTGGAAATTTAATATCATTCAAAAACACCACATGTATTTTTTTTCAAATTTTACTTAACATTTTGGAATATATTTAACCGGCAACTCTTTTCAATTGCCCCAGTGCATGGGAAGTGTTATACAGCCCCTAATTCGACACGTCCCTGCTTATGGCAAAAATTATGCTACTAAATTTACTCGAATTAATTTAATGCATACACTATATACAACTGAGTTAATATCTTTATTAGAATGCAGAATTGAACGAAAGTAGTGGGCTTTTTAACAACGTTGGACCCCCATGGGGTTAGAGCCCTTTATCAGGTCAAATTCCCAACAACCAGCTTATCTGATTAATGTTTAAAGTGGCTATCACCAACAAGTCAATAATTTCAGAATCAATATCAGGTAAATAGATTAATATAGATATTTCTTAACTCGAATGAAAAATTTCCAAGTTAAAGGTATTGTAACTTCAATATGTTAACGAGATGACGTAGCAGGAGGAATTTCAATGTACTTGTTGTAGCTGTAAAACACTGAACCAACTATTGTCCGCTATTTAAAAACAAATTTACACTTGCTTAAACCATAAATACGTCTCATAGGTTGCTAAGAAATGTTATTTCGTTAGCATATGTATGTTTTTGTATATTAATTAAACAATGCCTCTTGTGACGTCAACATTAACATAACGCAATTATAAAATTATGTAAAACTTTAAACGAAATCGTTCAAACCAACAGATATTTTGCCATTCGGCCTAGCAACACCATTTGCAATCAGTTGAGAATATAATCCGTTTGAAGTGATAAAAATTACTGATGGATTAATTGATGCGTATAAAAACAACGTTCAATTTTCTGTTTTCTTCAAGATATTATTAAGATATTTAATCAATCGATGTCTTATATTATTATCACCAGCGAGGTTCAATTTAATAAGTTTACAATTCTTACTTTCTAAAGCTTCACTCAGATATTTAGCAGCTTCATCTGTTATTTTATTAGAAAACAGGTTCAATTCTCTGAGTTTACAATATTCACATTTTAAAGCTTCGCTAAGATATTCAACACCTTGATCTGTTATTTCATTTCCACCGAGATCCAATTCTTCGAGTTTACAATTTTCACATTTTAAAGCTTCGCTAAGATATTCAACACCCTGATCTGTTATTTTATTAGAGGTCAATTCAAGTTTCTTCTTTTTAAAGCTTCACTAAGTTTAACACAATTTTCACCGATTTTATAAGCTTCGCTTCACTAAGATATTCAACACCCTGATCTGTTATTTTATTATTACCGAGGTACAATTCTTCAAGTTCACATTTTTTACTTTTTAAAGCTTCACTAAGACATTTAACACCTTGATTTGTTACTTTATTACCACCGAGGTACAATTCAATAAGTTTACAATTTCCACTTTTTAAAGCTTCACTAAGATACTTGCAAGTGATGAACCAGGCGGGAATCAATACCGTGATATGTCATTATATTATTACCAAGGTGCAATTTAATAAGTTTACAATTTTTATTTTCTAAAGCTTTACTAAGATCTTCAATACCTTTATCTGTTATTTTATTACCACTGAGGTACAACTCTCTTAGTTTACAACGTTTACTTATTAAAGCTCCATTAAGATATTTAATACCTTGATTTGTTATTTTATTTCCACCGAGATCCAATTCTTCGAGTTTACAATCTTCACATTCTAAAGCTTTGCTAAGATATTCAACACTTTGACCAGTTACTTTATTACCAATGAGCCTTAATTTAACAAGATTACAATTTGCACTGTTTAAAGCATGACTAAGATATTCAACAGCTTGATTTGTCATATCGGTATGACCTTTAACCTTGAGATCCAATTCAGCAAGCTTGCAATGTTCACCTTCCAAAGCATTACTTAGATATTTAACACCTTCAATTTCTGAAATTGGATGCCATAACAAGGAGGCAATAGTGTTACCTGGATTGTTAAATAACGACTTCTCAATTTTACAGTAGCTATAGTTGCCCTGTATGTCGCATTTATTAAATGTAAGTCTTCTTAAATTCTTGCTATTACCCAAAAATTGAAAAAATGCTGTGGAAACAATTGGTGTAATATCTAGGTCGTACAAACGCAGCTCTCCGTCTCCTCCAGCCAAAAATTCACTGGAAACTGACTTCATGAAATCAATATCTTGCAATTCGTACAAGCACTTTATGCCAAGTAAAGCTTTGTCGTTTGTTCCACCAGTTCCTAATGAAAAGGACCATTCTTTAAAACTAAACAAAGAAAAATACGATATTTATTTTCTGAGTGAACATTAACTATATGCTATATCCATGCAACATAGTTAAATCTGATGAGAAACCTATATTGTTTTAATCCAGCCCCAGATCTGGCTAGACGTTTTATTAGTAATATTTAAAGAACAGCTACATAAGAGCTTTTCTCACAGTCGTTAGCGTTAAATTTTAACGGCTGTACGAAAATCTCAATACGAGATTGAGATTTTGAAGTGAATAGCTCCGGGTACGCGTTGTAAAAATACGTTGGTTTGGAAATGTTTACGGTGGTTCGCAATTTGGATTTGATTCTTCTTTCGATTATTGCTCAACTTGGATATATAGCCTATTGTAGCTCAATCCAAATGTTTCCAAATCGTTAAATTGAGGGTAACAATATTTTCTATAAAATGGCACGTTCATTAGTATATTTTATACATCGCATAAGCGTACTAGGCGGGTGGAGGGGGGCACGATGGTGAGCAAATTATAAACGTAAATTGGGGAAATAATTTAAAAACAAGAAACACGTAAGACTAGGAGTAACCACAGGTTAAAGTGCGACCGTTGTATACACTGCAATACTGCACAATAGTACACGATGATCTTTCATTGTCTTGTAAATGTAATTTTATTGAATACAAACACTAATCATAGTATTTGTTGAGTGGGCCGACTTAGCTTGATATTGGGCCGAGTTGGTTAGGCCGAGTTGGTCAGTGGGCCGAGTTGACCGTAAAACGTATTAAGACAATTTATTAAATGCCCCTGTGACAAAAAATCATCTCTCCAATTTAGATCTTAGTTAAACATTACTTCGAAATAAGTCATCGCTGCGTTCTTGGTTTTTCAATATCTTGTTTCGTTTGCAAGATATTCAGCTTTTTAAAACATTTAAATTAGATCAAAAGCGACGTCATTTATTCCAGAATATTAAATCAGTTTTAGAAAACGATGAATATCTTTCTTCGTGATAAGTAAAATTCGCTCAATCTTTGCAGCACATTGTTTCCATGGAAACAGCACAAAAATTAACACTTCACTAAAAAATGTGAATTGTGTTTTCCTCCCCATTTGTGAAAAATACAACCATTCAAATGACAAATCTTGACTTTTGCGTGTATACGAGATTACGAGTATTCCGTCCTAGATGCTTTAGTAAACCTTGTTTAGAAGTGAAGAAATAATTGTTTTTGCTCCACAAGCATAACGCATTTGTTGCTTTATGGTTTTCATGAAAAACGCAGTGATAAAAAATTTTGAGTTGTGAAACACTCTTCGATATAATAGCAGAAAGTTTGAATTGTTTCTGTCACGAATAAAGATATTCATTGTTTTCTAAATCTGATTTAATATTCTGGAGTAAATGACGTCACTTTGAACCTAATTTGCATGTTTGAAAAAGCTGAATATCTTGAGAACGAAACAAGATATTGAAAAACCAAGAACGCTGTGCTAGCTTATTTCGAGGTGATGTTTAACTAAGATGTAAATTGGAGAGATCATTTTTTCGTCACTGGGGCACTTCAATTAAGGAGTTAAGACTAGAAAATACATGCATGCAGAAACCCTCGCCTTGCTGACAAAACCATTGTGTTTTCCGAACATGAAGTATCTAAAGTAGTTGTCATGGTAACACGATAATTTTTTAAGAACATTCTTATAAATGAAAATCGCCTAAAAATATCACTTTTAATTACAAAATTATAAATTTCCCAACATATATATGTTAGGTATGTAATTATACGTAATACAAGCTTCAATTTAAGGTAAAATTCAACCACAAACAATTCACAAAACGATCCAAAGTGATCTTTATAAAACTAAACTACCTTTAGCTATTATTATGGCTTTATCGATAAACTTTGAGTTTGCAATAAAATGATTTCAAATTCTCGCTTGCAAATAACTTTGCTTATTTTTTATTCAAAAAATTCAATATAATAAAAAAGGGAATCAATATTAAAGATACACTGAAATTATATGCTGTCTTGTTTATTTGTTTCATATACGCAAAAGCCGTCGGGTTTTAAAGCCATTACAAAATCAATATTTAAAACAAACTTACCTTCGTTAACGTCGGCTCCCTTCTTTTAGCCGATTCTTTCGCCTTTTCTTTCTTGAAATTTATAAAATCTTGCAGAAATACGAGCAAAAATGAAATATATTTGCAAGAAATTTATCAATCAT